AACCTGGGTCAATGCACACAAGGCAAAATCTTACCCACTGTACTATCTCACTGGTTCATAAAATTTTTATAAGGTGCTTGCTTCATTTCATATCACAATTTCTACTGTCTCATTCACTGTCTTGAATTATACTTCCCTTGCAGCCACTGCGCTGGACTGTTTTATTTTTTATTTCTTTTTAAGTTTATAAGCAATCACCATTAGATTGTGATAGCAATAGGAAAAATTTGCCATGACATCAACCTCTCTTTCCTCCTATCTTATTGCTTACTTTCTTCCTTATCCATTCCTAGTTATTGTCTTATTTTCTATTTTTCAAACTTGTTGAAAATTTGGAATTTCTTCTGGCTCAATTGTTAGCCCTATTCTTTTTTTCTTTGACATATTAAAGATTGATCTCATATATTTATATGTCTTTAAATCATACCTAATTACCAATTATTTTCCCATTTATTTTTTACCATATCTGAGAGGTTAAAATTCAGCTGTAGGTTCACTCCATATCTAACCTTGTATACATCACAGTTCTCTCAAACCAGATAATTGTAAAACTAAAAATTTGATTTCATTTCAAAATCTATCACCCCATCTTCTCTCTTTTTTAATGAATCATGATTCAGTAAATGATTGAAGTCTGAATCTATTATCTCCAATTGTTTCACTTTTTATATCCATCTGTTTAAATTCATCTTTCAATTTTATCCTTATGTATAGCTCTTGCTTGAACCAAAATATTAATATTCTTATCAGGAATATGTAAATAGTATGTATTATAGTGTTATTAGTGTGTATTAATGTGTTACTGTGTGTGTCCCCACCTCTGACTTCTCTTATGAGAACAACTACTAAATAGCAAAATAGATTTTACTGATCATTGCCATTTAAAGAGAATCTATAGACTACTCTAAATAAGACGATATCCCGGTATCTTTTGAAAACTTATCATTGTACAAAATTATATTTATAAATTTTTGAGGAACATAGCAAATGTATTTAGCAAAGTACACATGAAAAGGTATAATTGATAGGCAAACAAAGAAAAGTTTTGTCTAGCAGAAAAAATAGTGAACATTTGCGATGGAATGAAAATGACGATTCTCAGTGCTTAAAGAATTACTAGGATCTATTAGGGTGAGACGTATTATGTGAAAGCTGCAATATGTGTGCTTATTATAAGGCAATTTCCAAATTGATCACAGGTTTCTTTTAACCTCATAATTGGAATCCCAGTAATGTTATCTTTGAATCTGTAATTTTAAATTAAATTTTAATTTGGTGATGATTGTAGAGTAACACACAGTTGTAAGAAATCATGCAGAGATAAAGAATGCCTTTTATCTGGGAAGGAGGCATTGTGAATCTTTTGTCTAGTTCCTTTCAAAAGTAACATCTTCCAAAATCACAGTACAATTTCAGAATCAGAATATTTACATTGATAGGGTTAAGATGAAGAATATTCCATCAACACAGGGATTTCTTACTTTTTCCTTTATAGCAAAACCATGTGCCTACTGTACTCACCCCGTCCTTAATTCATTGTGATGACTAATCTGGTCTCCATTTCTATTTTTGACACTTCAAAAATGTCACATAAATGAAATTAAATAAGTAAGATTAATTAAAATATTTACTTTAATCAATATCAATGTCTGATGATGCATCAATGTTCCTGCATGTATTAATAGTTCACATCCTTTCCTTTTTTTATGTTTCGGTTATGTTTTTGAATTTTGGGACACACCTGGCAATGATCACGGGATACTTCTGGCTCTACACACATGAGCACTCTTAACAGTGCTCGAGAGACATATGGGATCTGTAATTTTAAATTAAATTTTTAGAACCCAGGTTGACTATGTGCAAGGCAAGTTGTACTCTCAGGCCCCGCTCACTTTTATCCCTGGGTATTGCTCCAAGGTATAGTTATTTACAGTTTGTTTAACTATTTACAAACTGGAAGCCATTTACATTCTTTCCAGTTTGTGGCTATCATAAAGAACTATTCTATAAATATTTGAGTTTAGTTTTCATAAGGGCTGGAGCGATAGCACAGCAGTAGGGCGTTCGCCTTACAAGCAGCCAACATGGCCGACCCGAGTTCGATTCCTCCGCCCCTCTCGGAGAGCCCGGCAAGCTACCGAGAGTACTCGATATGCCAGACACAGTAACAACAAAGTCTCCAATGGAGACGTTACTGGGCCCGCTCGAGCAAATCGACGATCAACGGGAGGGCCTTTACCTTTACCTTTAGTTTTCATGGAATTATAATTATTCATTTTTCTAGAATATATGTCCAAGAGTATAATTGATTGTTTGTAGAATATTTTTTTTCTTTATGGGTCACACCCAGCAATGCTCAGGGCTTACTCATAGCTTTGAACTCAGGATTCACTCCTGGCAGTGCTCAGGGGTCCATATGGGATGCTGGGAATCGAACCCAGGTCAGCCAGCCAGGTCAGTTCAGAAAAAATGTCATACCCTCTGTTCTATTGCTTGAGCCCCCTGTTCATACACTTTTCTTAAAAAAAGCTGTCAAGCTTCTTTCCAGAGTACCTGTGAATTTTTAAAGCCACACCAGCAATGTATAAATTATGTTTTTCTTCATCCTTATCAGCATTTAGTGTTATAATATTTAAAATTTTTAACTATTTGAAGTGTATAGCAATAACTCATATGATTTCAATTGGTCATTTGCAAATGGTTAATGGCATTGAACATTTCCCAGCATGCCTACTTGTCATACATATTATTTTTTTAACTTTCAAATTTTCAATTCAAACTATGAATAAACTAAGCTGTGGCATATGTCCTGAATTTCAATTAAAAACATAACTTTGGAGAGATTTAAAAGGTGTCAAAAATAAATTAACTGATATTTTAGGTCTTTCATTGTCAAACTGCAATGCCATTTTTTTATATCTTTCAGTAGATATGACCACTGTCAAATTAATAACAGAAAGGTAATTCAAGCATTCTTTGAAAAAAAATCTACCTTAAATATCAGCTAACTGGACTTTCAGGAGGCTAAAACTGAGACATTTGATTTTTGTTTTGAGGTTTCACACAGTGGTGCTCAGGGCTTACTCCTGGTTCTGCAATCAGGAATTACTCTTGGAAGTGCTTAGGGACCATAGGGGATGCCCGGGATCTGAATTCGTGTTGACTGAATTCAAGGGAAATATTACCTGCTGCACTATTGTTTGACCACTAATTCTGATAGATACATTTAAGTTTCATTTATTATTATTTTTTAACACACGCAGCTATTCTCAGTGCTTATTCCTTGCTCTGTGATTGGCTATGACTTCTGGCATGCATTAAAGGACAACACAGGGTCCCAGGATTCAAAACCAAGTCTTCCACATGCAATGTAAGTGCCTTATCCACTGTTGCTCTCTCTGCAGTCCTATGCGTGTTTCACTCTTTTCACACAACTCAACAGAAATGGTTTCAAGTAGTATCCAGTTCAATTTATACATTGAAAAGATGTAGAGTTCTTAACTACAAATTTGCTAAGTCAAGGATAGCTCATAGAAAGATTACAAGGAAATGTAAGATATTTGAGAACTTGATCCTTTGGTGGGTGGTTAACACATTTATCCTCTTTCAGCAGTTTTTTTGCAAATGCAGAGTCATAGAGTTCCCTCTTTATTGTGTAGCTGTTGCTAGACCGATATAAATAGCAAGAAGGTAGAGCATGAGGAAGATGAAAAACTTATTTATTGTCACTGATTATTCAGAAAATTAAAATGACAACAATTTTCAACTTAAACCATAAAGAATTTTCTATAACAAAAAGTCTAGGAGCAGTGTTGGCAGAGATATGGCAAAACAGGAACACTTATTCACCAATATTGAGACTTTTCTTTGGTTTATTATCTTTAAAAATGATTTGGAGACTTCCCAATAAACTAAGGGAAGAACTTCCTTAAGGGAAGAGCCTGCAATTCTGTTACTAGGAATCTACTCAAAGAGCACAAAGTATTCGGAAAGGACCTATACCCACCGAAATGCATGGTGACAATATGTTCACTAGCCAAGATCTGAAAAGAACCCAAATGCCCAGAAATAAATGAGTGAATATAGTGTGGATGCACATGCAAGGAATATTACTCAGCAATGAGAAAAGATGAAATATTGGTGTTTGCCACAACTTCTATGGAATTGGAGGAAGTAATGCTTACTTGAAGTGAGTCAGAAATAAATATACAAGGCCCAGATATTCGCTCTTCCTTGTGGTGTATAAAGAACCAAATCAAGAATTATATGATCCTCAAAGGAAGCAACTCCAAAGTAGAGTCAATGTAACTGTGATCTGAGAATCTTGGGGAGGGAAGGGAACCTTGGAATAATACTGGAGTGATTATCTGACACTCTGTTGGGCAACCAGGTGGTTCAGCACTGCAACTACAAATTAATTCTATTGCAATATTGTACTATTATAAAACAAGAGATATATTATTCTCTAAAATTTAAAAAGATGCCTTAAGCGCCTTAAGAAGCCTTATTTTTTAAGCTTGTTCTCCATTTATGTTTTGTAAATTTGATGCCAATCTTCAAATTCCACATATAAGAATGCTTCCTTTAGGACTGTATTTGGCACAACAAAATTAAAAGGGAGCATGGATAAATTCAGCAGTAGCAAGGAGCACAATGCGTTAAAGAAACTTCTTTGTAAACAAGATGATGTGGGTGGTGGCACCAGATTGTAAACTGAAATGGTCTCACACAAAGATTGACTGCTGTATTCTCTATAGTTAAATGGTTTCCACTAGGATTTGCTGTGTAAAGAGATTACTGTCTGAATATGAGCAGCTAAATAAAGAGGTGACGATTCAGTTTTTATCATTTGTATCTAGTTGTATATAAAAGCATGCTTAGCTACATTTTATTGAATGATTTATTGTGTCAGCAGTATGTGAGGGAGTTTTCAGACCACAATTTTAATTCATCTTAATCTTTCAGGATACACACACATATATATACATACACATTTATTAATTTATCACCAGCATTTCTAAGATCATACTTAGGTAGGTAAAGAAGTAGGCTTGGGAACACATGCATGGTCTTATTTTAGCAAATATTTAGACTGTCCTGATTTTTACGAAATCAGAACAGCAAGAGTATTCACAGAAGATATATATTTTAACCTTATTTTTACATATGAGACCACAAAAACTCAGACTGTCATTGGTCCAGACGACACAGTTAACAAGTGATAGAATCAGACTTTTCTGTGCCCAAGTACTTATTTAGCACTTTTCTGCTTCATGGGGAACGTTCATCCCAACAAATTTCCTGAGTGCTAGGAGTGAGATTAGGGGCAGAAACTGAAACATAAAATTCAATTTGAAGCCACAGAGCAGTCAATTTCAAGTTGTCCACCTAGTTGATACCCTACATAAAAATAAAAACTAATACCTTCCAGATAGTCACCCTTATCTTATTTCTTCTAAGGATTTCTTGATGGGTACCCCAGGGATTAAAAACAAAGCCAACACATTATTTTCTAATTCTGGAAAAATTGAAACAAAGTAGGTTGATATATTTATTCTCCTCTTCCCCACTGAAATGCATACGCCCATTTGTGTGTGCAATGAAAATATACTTCATGTGTCTTTACGGAAGTTGTCACCACCTCACTTTCTATAAATACACTGATCACTAATTGCTACAGCAAGGTGTAGGTAGGGAGTTGAATAAATGATTTCTCAGGGGACATAACCTCTTCCTGGAGAGGAAAACAACAGAAAGGAAAGTACTCTGCTGGCCTTTGTAGAAAGGAGCTCACCCAGCCCATGGTTAGTAATTGACTCATCATAAATAGGAATCTAGGAAGTTTGTCTCCAGAGTTCTTCCTAACTTAATTGCTGAGTGTTTGTGCAAGTGTGTGTTCCCTCCTCAATAATAAATAAAAGATGAATCCAATGTAGTCTCTCAGAATTTTAAGGAACTGATCTTTTTTTTTAACTGATAGGCAAGAAAAAATTTAATCTTGAGATTTTCTTGAGCTACAAGAAATACAAATGACTAAGGCACATAAAAAAAAAGTCCCACATCATTAATCATCGGGGAGATTCAAATCAAAATGACAACGAGACATCATCTCATGCCACAGAGACTGGTAGATATCAAAAAGGACAAGAACAACCAGTGCTGGCATGGATGAAGGGAGAAGAGGATTGTCATTCATTGTTAGTGGTAATGCCAAGCGGTCCAGCCTTTTAGGAAAGCACTATGAGCAGTCCGCAGAAAACTAGAAATTGAGCTTCCATATGACCCAGCAATACCACTTCTGGGAATATATGCTGGAAACACAAAAACAAACAGCAGAAAGAAAAGTCATGTGTACGTCTATGTTCATTGCAGCACTATTCACAATAGCCATAATCTGGAAACAACCCTGAGAACAAGCCTGAGAAACAGATGACTGAATAGAGAAAAATTGGTTTATCTATATAACGGATTACTATGCAGCCACCAGGAAAGTAAAATTATGATATTCCTCATCAATGGATGGTAATGGAGAGTATCATGCTTAGTGAAATAAGTCAGAAGGAGAGGGACAGGCATAGAAGGACTTCACTCATTTCTGGGGTATAAAAAGCTAGTATAAGACTAATACCCACGGACAGTAGAAACAAGGGCCAGGAAGACTGGTCCATGATTCGAAGGTTGCCACAAGTACAAGGAGGGAAGTTAGGATAGAGAAAGAAACACTATGACAAAGATAGTTGGAAATAATCACTCTGGACAAGAACTGAGGGCTGAAAGTAGGTAAAGGGACATACATGACAACCTTTAAGTGCCTGTATTGCAAACTACAATGATCAAAGGAGAAGAGAGAGAGAGAGAGAGAGAGAGAGAGAGGAGAGAGAGAAATGTTTTCCATAGAGGATGGCTGTGGGTGGGGGGGAGAAGCAGGAGGAAAACTGGAGACTTTGGTGGAGGCAAATGAGCTCTGGCGAAGGGATGTATGATTGAAACCCAATCTTAAACAACTTTGTAACCGAGTACCTCATGGTGATTCAATAAAAAATAAAAATGATTTAAAAAAAACTTTCTTTGATCTGTAGGGTACTTACAGACCATCTCAGACCGAAGCCTATTTTAGGGAAACTAAGACACAGAAAGATAAAATGACATATTTAAAGTCACAGAATGAAGGGAATATTCTTATCAGGCTGGAGTGATAGCACAGCGGATGGGGTGTTTACTTTGCAATCGGTCAACCAGTGTTCAATTCCTCTGTCCCTCTCAGAGAGCCCGACAAGCTATTGAGAGTATCCCGCCTGCATGGCAGAGCCTGGCAAGCTCCCCGTGGCATATTCGATATGCCAAAAACAGTAACAACAAATCTCACAATGGAGATATTACCGGTGCCTGCTTGAGCAAATCAATGAACAATGGGGCAACAGTGCTACTACATACTTACTATATATATATATATATATATATATATATATATATATGTATATATATATATAGTATTCTTACTAGTAGACTACATTACCTGTGTTTTAATTTTATTCTTTTAAAATAAATTTGTAATCAGATGGGCTAGACATGTAATGAGATTTGGAGATGACTGCTGGACTAGAGCCATTACCAGCTGGATTTTATGGACTTCAAAAGATCACATGGCTGCCCACCTACCAGATGGTCAGACTTCTTCGTCAAGACCTTGAACGATCGGTTTGAGGCTCTTCATGTTCCTAGAACGAGCAGACGCCATTGGGCTACACTAGCACGCGACAGGGACAAATGGAGACATTACTGGTGCCCACTCAAGCAAATCGGGATGTCAAGTGATCAAGTGATCAAAATAAATTTAGATAGTTTTTTTAAGATACCATGATTTACAAAGTCATTCATCGTAAAGTTTTCAGCATGCTATGTTGCAGCTCTAATCCTACTACCAGTGTCAACTTCCCTTCACCAGTGAACCCAGTTCCTTCTCACACCACCACTCGCCACCACCACCCAGCCTGTCTCCTTGACGGACTCATTGTTAAGTTTGGTTGTTGTGGTGTGGTTCTCTTGCTTTCAATGTTGTTTGGATAGATAGCTACTCCTATATATGCTACTCCTGATATATTACTGCACTTAAGATCTAAAGCTATTCCACTTATTGGCACCATCCATGTACCCGAGGCCCTTAATGCTTATTCCTCCAGTTTCTTCTTATCTTATTCTTGGTAACGCAATTTTTCTTTTCTTCCTTCTCTTTCCTGTATATGAAGGTTTATTGAGCTATCTCTACATAATGCCTTTACATTCCCTCATCCAGTTATTCTATATCATTTTGATATTTCTTCTCCTATTAAGCCCAATATGATATTAACCAAACAACAAATATTTCCACTGTGCATTCTTCTGAATACTACTGACATAATACATCCCTGTTACCTTTGAAAAACCCAAAGAACTAATTATTGGACTAAAAGTAGATAAAACAGTCAATAAGTTTGGCAGAACAAATAAATGGTGAAAAGTTACTAGGATTTATGATGGAATTTTGCTTAAACTCAATTGAGATTTAAAACATTTCTTACTGTGGCTTTAGAAATGCATATGATAAATAAGCATTAAGATTGATTGGTCATAGAAAGGAAAGAATGAATATTTAGATCATTCTAAAATAAATGAGGCAATATACGTACTGAAGTACATTAGAAGGAAATAGGTTTTGGATGACCAGCTTTTATTATAGTGTTTTAATAATTGAAATATATGTTTGTTAATAGGTTTGCTTCAAATTACTTAGAGGAAATTAAAGGTCAGCTCTATAAATTAAATTGCTTGTATATATATATTTGTAAATATGCAATATATACCATGTAACTGCACTGCTCTGTACTCCCATTGTTCATCAATTTTCTCGAGAAGGCCCAGTAATATCTCCATTGTGAGACTTGTTGTTACTGTTTTTGGCATATAGAATATGCCACGGGGAGCTTGCCAGGATTTTCCGTGGAGGCGAGATACTCTCGGTAGCTTGCCGCGCTCTCCAAGAGGGGCGGAGGAATTGAACTCGAGTCGGCCTGGTTGGCCTTGTGCAAGGCAAATGCCCTATCCACTGTGCTATTGCTCCAGACCACTATGTAAAATAGTACATATATAATCCTTTTCACTTAGTATGTTGACATTGTGTTTTTAAAATTAAAAAAACTGGAATACAGGATTTCATAAGTTCAGGTATATCTGTGAAACTAGTAAGTACCTAATTGAATTTAAATCAAATTAATATAAAGTCATGGTGCCTTGATGGTTGAGAAACTTATGAAGCAGAATTTGAAAGCTTTAACAATTCACATGTATTTATTATTCTGATGTAACAAGCTTATGATATAATAAGATGTGAAAGAATCCTCCACCAGAGGAAAGATGAAAATTATGATGATAAGCCTACTCTGAATGAAGGAAAAGAAGACTTTAATGACTTATATTGCTAATATGCTTACAAAATTCAATGTCTTTTGGGTGGGGTGATTGGGTCCCACCTGGTACTGCTCTTACTCCTGGCTCTATACTTCAAGGATAATTCTTGGCAGTAATCAATGGACCACATTTGGTACTGGGGCTCAAATTAAGGTTGTCCATGTCCAAAGAGAGCTCTTAATCTCTGTACTATCTCTCTGGTACAACAGTATGCATGCTTTATTGGAATAATCATTTAGTCAATATGTGATCATTATCAGATCAATCAGTATGGTCAATTATTTAATGATTACTATTTTTCTAAATGGGAGTCATATTTAAAGCAAAATCCTCATTGTATCCTCTTAAAGATTGCTAAAGTCCCGACTCTTTGTCTCAGCCCTGGAAATTGAATAGAAAAAACTGACTATCCGTCCCATCTTATAGGAACTGGATTTGAGAGTAACCAAGTCACCCTACTTGGTGAAGATAACTATTGTGGTAAATATGAAAGAACCAATAAAATTAGAAAAAAAATCTGCAATCCTAAATGACATAATTAATTCAGGCAACAATTATAAAAGCATTCTATGACAACATGATGGGGGAAGTTATCAAATGAGAAATCAAGCTATACCATCTGATTCCACTGATCAGTGGGTTTATCAATGAAAATGGGACAATCAATCATTATCCTTCCTACTGTAATGAGA